TAAGTAAATATAAGTATAAATAGATATACAGTATATATAAGTTAGTAAATTGTGTGGAAATATACATTGATTTTTATTTTTTATGGAAAAATTATTGTATACATCACTGGTTACGTGTGTGTGTTTAGTACACAACTCCTTAATACATATTAAACAATTATTATTATTATTATTAGTATATATTTTCCTTTAAACTAATATACAGTACAAAAAAAATCAAATATATTTATACAGTATTTTTAAATATTAAATTAATTAATTATATATTTTTTTATTATTATTATTTAAAAAGCCCTCTACAAGGATAAACTTTTATATTGTTGTCTATGATTTTTTTTTTGGTGCACATAATGCTTAAAGATATATATATATATATATATATACTGTATATACAGTATATTAATACACAATAGTTTTTTTTAATTTATATATTTTATTAAATATATAATTTATAATATATATATACATACTATTAATGAATATATTAATAGTTAGTTAACAAATCACAACAACAATCAGCAACAAAAAAAATCCGTTAATTTAATAATAATTATTTGATTTTTTTTTTGTATTAATGAATTTCTAATGATTTTTTCCGTTATTGTTGATTATGATTATAAAAATTTTAATAATAATAATAATATGTTTATTTGAACTTAACAAACAAAAAAAATAAAGTTTAATTAAATTAAAATGATTAAAACAAAAATATTATCAAATGTTTCGCTCTCTCTCTATCTTAAAAACAGGTTATTATTGATTATTAATTAATTATTTTTATGTTTTTTTTATTAAGTTATTATAGAAAGTACTGTATATATATAGTAAATTATTTAAATATGTGTTTATAATTATGATTATAATTTTAAAAAAAAAATTATTTATCCTATTTATAGGTGCAAAATTTAAAATTTGCATTTATGTACTTATTTACCAATTTTTACGCATATAATTAAAAATTAATAATAATAATAACTAACTAAACAGTCATAATAATAATAATAATGATTTTAAATTAACATTAAACGTTAATAATGACAGATTTGCAATAATAATAATAATAATTTATTGTTTTCAATTGTTTTTTTTAAAAATAAAATTAATTTCAATATAATAAGCAATAAATAGTATTTACTGTATATATATACATATAAATTATATATATATATATATATATAAATTATAATATGCATGAGTAACTTAAAATAACTTTTTTAATAAAAAAAAATTAATTGCATAATTGTTATTCAAAATACAAAACTATTGTTTAGTGTTTTAGTTTTTTTTCGTAGAAATAAAAACTTTTTTTTAAATTTTTTTTTTAATTTTCAACACAAAAAAACATAAACATTCAATAGTTTTTATTTAGACAAAAAAATAAAATAATTTTTTATTATGCATTTGTTTAGTAGAAACTTGTTAAGAAAACATAAATATAAATAAATAAATAAATAAAAATATCAAACAAACAACTATTATATTATATATAATTATATTTATTTTAGTTTTAAGTTATACATCATTAAACTTTACAAATTTTTTTGTACACTTATTAAATACAGTATATATTTGTATAAAATAATAATAATAATAATAATAATAATAATAATAATAATAATAATAATAATAATAATAATAATAATAATAATAATAATAATAATAATAATAATAATAATAATAATAATAATAATAATAATAATAATAATAATAATAATAATAATAATAATAATAATAATAATAATAATAATAATAATAATAATAATAATAATAATAATAATAATAATAATAATAATAATAATAATAATAATAATAATAATAATAATAATAATAATAATAATAATAATAATAATAATAATAATAATAATAATAATAATAATAATAATAATAATAAAAACTTATGTTTAACTATATACTGCTAGTATTGTGCAATATTTATCTAACAGTATTACTATAAATATATATATATAGTATATAAACAGTATATAAATATTTGAGAAAAAAAAACAAATTTAATGTTCAAATACGGTATAATAATAATAATAACAAAAAAAATACAACAACAAAAAATCTAATTTTATAACATAAAAAAACATTATTATTTTTTTTGCAAATATATGTAAAATATATCACATTTATTTTGAAAATTAAATATATAGTATACAGTGTATAGTACAGTATATACACTATTATAACATTATTATATTATAATATAAATATAAATAATAATAAAAAATTACATAAACAAACATTGTTGTAGCATCTGGCAACAACAAAAATATTATTATTATTAATATATAAAACTTATATATATAAAAAATATTGTTAAGGAGTAGAAAAATAATAATAAAATAATTGATTTAATAAATTCAATGAAATACAAACAATTGGTTACAAACCAACAAAAAATAATAATAATAATATGTACAGACAATTATTTTTACTATTATTTATTTTAAATTAATAAAAATATGATAAAATAAAATAAAATATGTTTATCTCATAAAAAAATCTACTATTAATTTAAACACATTGTGTGTGTGTTTGGGTTAGTAGTGTGTGTATGTGTGTGTATGTGTGTGTATGTGTGTGTATGTATGCGTGTATGTGTGTATGTATCTGTATGTGTGTGTGTATGTGTGTGTGTATGTGTGTATGTGTGTGTATGTGTGTGTGTATGTATGTGTATGTGTGTGTGTATGTGTGTGTGTATGTGTGTGTGTATGTGTGTGTGTATGTGTGTGTGTATGTGTGTGTGTATGTGTGTGTGTATGTGTGTGTGTGCACTAGATTTTCATTATTATTATTATTATCATCATTAGTATATAGACAGTGAAAAAATATGATAAAAATTTTTGATAATAAAAAATATGTTGAATTTAATAATGAAATTTTTGTTTAGTTATAAATAATAATAAGCAAATTATAGCTTTAGTTTTGTATGACAACCGAGGAGGTCTGGTAGGTCACCAGTAGTAGTAGTAGTAGTAGTAGTAGTAGTAGTAATAGTAGTATTAGTAATAGTAGTCGACCTCCTTGAAGATCCCGGCAATGGTTTACAAACACACATTTACTATACATAACTGTATATACAGTATATACATAGTATTACACACACACACACACACACACACACACACACACACACACACACACACACACACACACACACACACACACACATACATACATACATACATACATACATACATACATACATACATACATACATACATACATACATACATACATACATACATACATACATACATACATACATACAGTACATACAAAAGTAAAAATCATCGACAAATCCCGAGGACTTATATACAATACATACACACAAAAATCATATGTATATAGAGGTAGTTATCATATGATGTATGTATGTATGTATATGTGTGTGTGTTAGTGTCAATGTGTATGTACTGTATATATATATACTGTACTTTACATACCTGTATACGTGCGTACAGTATATACAATATATATATACTGTATATACTGTTTAAATGAAAATGTTTTTCAGTGAAGAATGAGGTCATTATAAAAGTAAAGTATGAAATGTTTTGCGAGTTTTTTATAATGAAATCATACTGTATTTGATTAGTAGTAGTTATAGTAGTAGTAGTAGTAGTAGTAGTAGTAGTAGTAAACAGGTATTAAATATTATATATAAGTTTAATAAATATATATATGATATATAAAAGACAACTACTACTACTCCTCAAAAGTTATAGATATATACAGTATATATATATATATATATATATATATAGTTAGAAAGACTATACATCACATCACTAACGATTAAATTCATCACAAATAAAAAAATTTCACATTATTTTGTTGGTTGTCTCTAAAAGTAAAATCAAAAAAAAATTATATATAAAATATTTTTTGTTGTTATAAAGCCATTACTATATATATATATATACGATATATGAATTTTATATCAAAAATAAATTTTTGATATTTAGTGAAACTTAAGTGATGTATGTGTGTGAGTGAGTGTTAAGTGAAATTATTATCAAAAATTTATTTTTAAAACTAAAACAACTATAAAATATATATTTTTGCTGATGTTTTAAACATATATATATTGTGTCTCTCTGTATATATATATAATATCAGAGAAAGTTTTATATATATCTATATATAATATATATGAAAAAAGTTACGTTTTTTGTTATTTTTGTTGTATTTTTATCATTGCTTTTTTAAAAAAAATCTTTGTGTAAAAAAAGTGAGATATATATAATATACAGTAGTATTTCGTGAATGAATTTTTAGATTTTTTAAGAGTCAAAAGTCAAGACTTAAATAAAATAAAAAATAAAAATCAAAAATAAAAATCAAAAATAAATTTATTTTTCTCTGATCTTTTCATAAGTGATTTTTAACATTAATAAATAGTTACCATATATTGTATGTATATATATAACTGTATTTTTATTTATTTTATTTTTGTGATGATAAATAATTGTGTTTTTTCAAAAAATAAAATAAAAAATTATTTTATAAATAAATAAATAAATATATCTGAGTGAAAAATCTAAAAAATAAAATTTTTATTTAAAAAAAATCAAAACATTTTTTGTTGTGTTGTTGTTGTCAAAAAAATAGTGTATAATAATAATAATAATAATAATAATAATAATAATACTAATAATAATAATAATAATAATAATAATAATAATAATAATAATAATAATAATAATAATAATAATAATAATAATAATAATAATAATAATAATAATAATAATCACTAATCAATAGATAAAAAAAAATTGGAAAAAAATTGAAAAACTTTTTTCTCAATAATAATAATAATCTTTTGATTTTTTATTACAAATATATATTAATAGAGGAATTAAATCCTAAACAAAAAATTAAATAAATAAATACAACAAAAAAAAAAACTTATAATAATAGGTTGTAATAATAATTGACATCCAATTGATATAATAATAATATTAATAATAATAATAATCACCAAAAAAAAAATCAAAAAATAATGTCTGCCTTTGAATTGGCACAAGTTTTTTCAAATGTTACCAATCGATTGATACAGGAGTTTGACAGTAATCCCCAATTGTATGAACCCGTGGACATGGATTGTATAACCAGTGAGGGCTGGCTTATCAAGTATTGTATATTTTTGGAAAAAATGTCCGAAACGGATGCCTATAATCTGATTAGCCGTACATTGAAATGGCGTAAACTAAAGGGATTTGCGGGTAAAGTGGACACGGATTTCCCGCGGGAGTTGTATCAGATGGGCAGTGTATTCCAGTATAATCAAGATAAGGACGGTAATCTGGTTATGATTGTCCGATTGGACCGGCAATTGGGCCGATTAGTACCGGGTGCCAGCAGTCGGCGACTGGCCAAACAATTTCTGGCCCATCAATTGGATAAATTAGACAAATCGGCCAATGGTAACAATCGGTTTGTCGTATTGGTTGACTATACGGGAACGGGTAGTCTAGCCCTAACTGAGCTACAACTAGTACTATATCTGATACGATTGGTTCGCCAGTTTCCCGCTTGTCGTTATCTGATACACTATAATCAGGGACCAGTGGCCAGACATATGGTACAGTCAACCTATCGCAAGTCGATGGATAAGTTTGCCGAAAAAAAACAAATTTTCGACCACTTTCACGACCGATATTTACCACAGTATTTGGGCGGCACCTGTACCCAGTCGATGGTCGATACCCCAGCCCAGTCACCTGGACTGGTAGATTGTTGCGACAAGTTGGGTATTAATAGAAAATTGGTAATCAAACACCGGGATCAATTGGCCAAATTGACGATAGCATCACAATTAATTAATTAATTAATTAATTAATTATAATAATAATTATTATAGATATAATACACACACACACACATATATAAATCATATTTACTAGTAATTAATAATAATAGATAATTAAAATAATAATTATTATTATAAATATGATTTTTATATATATATATATATATAAAAATATTTTTTTAATAACAATTAGCGGTAATATCTAAATAATTTTTTTTTATATACGTATCATAATTAGTTTAGTTTATTTTAGTTAAAATAATAATAATAATATTATTATTTTTTTTTTGATTAATATTAACCTTTTTTTTTATTATTTAACACAATATCTATATCTTTAATAATTTATATTACGTTTAAAAATGCTTGTAATTTTTTGTGTTGAGATTTTATTTAATGATTTTTTTTGATGTAATATTTTTGTTAATTAAAAAAAATCTGATTTTTTTCACTTTAAATGTTAGTCATGTGTATGTATGTATGTATATGTGTGTAACACACATATTATTCACGATTATTTATGTATGTATTTATCAACAAAACTAAACTAAATTATATTTACTATTATATATATATATATATATATATGTGAAAAAAATATGGGTTATACCTGTGTGTGTGTTATCTGTATTAATAATAATACCAAATAAAATAAAAAATAAAAACAGTTTATACAGATATCACTTAGATATTTATATACAGCAAAAAAATTTTTTTTTTAATATATAAAACACATTTTTTTCTAATGATGAAAAGTTTTCAAATAAAATTAAAATTAATTTTTTATATATATAAAGTTTGATATAACAACTATAAGGTTGATTTAAAGCATTTAATTAACATTTATCATACATATAATGTTGATAATGATAAAACAGTTTTTTTTTATAAAAGTTCTTATGTATATATATGTGTGTATATAATTAATTAAGCAAACATTATTTAGTTAAGTTTTTTAAAAAAAAATTATTTGATTAAAAATCTTTAAATGCTTTAATTATTTAAATCAACTAAATATATATATATATTAAACTGTATATTAAATTCAATTCACACACAGTTTTTACTTTTGAGTGTTAAATGTATTGAAAAAATTTTCACAATTTTTTTAAAAAAGTAAAATTTAAGTAAAATATAAACTTAATGCATATCTTTCAAATAATTATCATTAACTAAATAATTTTCAAAAAAATATATTTATGTATTAAATTATTTTATTTTATTTTTTGATTTATCAATTTAATGTATTAAAATTTAATGATTTTATGTATATATATATAGTATATAATATATTAACTTTATATGTAATATCTTATCAGTAAATATATATATATATTGGTATTTAAAGTGGTTTATTATTTATATGTTAGTAAATATTATATATTGAAAATAAAACTATCATTAAATATAAATTTAATAATAATATACTAAAGTTTCAAAAACACATTAATATTTGATTTTTTTTGGTTGAAAAAATAAATAAATAAATATACATAATATATAGTTTTTTTTAAAAAAATACATTTCACAAAAACATTAGTATTTTTTTAAATAATTTTATTTTGAATAATAATTAAATAAATTTTATAGTTGCGAAATATAAATTAATTTACTAAACAACAAATTATATATAATAAAAATTTATTTTTTTAATAGTTGTCAATTAATATTGTATATTATTTTTAAAATTAAATTAAATTTTATTTATTTAAAAATATATTATCATATTAAATGCTAAATTAAATAATTAGCATACATATAAATTATCACGTTTTAGAGATACTATTGTTTTATTGTATTTTAAAATATTACTATATATTGTTGTTATTGTTGTATAAAAATTATAGATAATTTAATTATTAGTAATTTATATATACATACAAAAACAACAACAACAAAAATGAAACCATTATTTTCATAGATTTTTTGTTATCTGATATTTTTTTTATGTGTAAAATAATTTTATTTTCTAACAATGTTTAATAATAATAATAATAATAATAATAATAATAATAATACATATTCACAATTTAATATTACTGTATATATATACTGTATATACACTAATTGAATAATTTTTATCTGATAACTACTACACTGTGTATAAAAAGCATATTTTTTGCAAATATATTATATAATATACAGTATATAATAATTATAATTAAATAATAAACATATATATATATATATACATTATATAAAATGTATTATAATTAAATAACTTGACATATTTTTGCTGTATTATTATTATTACAAATACCAAAAAATTACTGAAAAAAATTTACTATACATTCATATCATATCATTGTAGTAGTAATATAGTACAGTAATAATAATAATAATAATAATAATAATAATAATAATAATAATAATAATAATAATAATAATAATAATAATAATAATAATAATAATAATAATAATAATAATAATAATAATAATAATAATAATAATAATAATAATAATAATAATAATAATAATAATAATAATAATAATAATAATAATAATAATAATAATAATAATAATAATAATAATAATAATAATAATAATAATAATAATAATAATAATAATAATAATAATAATAATAATAATAATAATAATAATAATAATAATAATAATAATAATAATAATAATAATAATAATAATAATAATAATAATAATAATAATAATAATAATAATAATAATAATAATAATAATAATAATAATAATAATAATAATAATAATAATAATAATAATAATAATAATAATAATAATAATAATAATAATAATAATAATAATAATAATAATAATAATAATAATAATAATAATAATAATAATAATAATAATAATAATAATAATAATAATAATAATAATAATAATAATAATAATAATAATAATAATAATAATAATAATAATAATAATAATAATAATAATAATAATAATAATAATAATAATAATAATAATAATAATAATAATAATAATAATAATAATAATAATAATAATAATAATAATAATAATAATAATAATAATAATAATAATAATAATAATAATAATAATAATAATAATAATAATAATAATAATAATAATAATAATAATAATAATAATAATAATAATAATAATAATAATAATAATAATAATAATAATAATAATAATAATAATAATAATAATAATAATAATAATAATAATAATAATAATAATAATAATAATAATAATAATAATAATAATAATAATAATAATAATAATAATAATAATAATAATAATAATAATAATAATAATAATAATAATAATAATAATAATAATAATAATAATAATAATAATAATAATAATAATAATAATAATAATAATAATAATAATAATAATAATAATAATAATAATAATAATAATAATAATAATAATAATAATAATAATAATAATAATAATAATAATAATAATAATAATAATAATAATAATAATAATAATAATAATAATAATAATAATAATAATAATAATAATAATAATAATAATAATAATAATAATAATAATAATAATAATAATAATAATAATAATAATAATAATAATAATAATAATAATAATAATAATAATAATAATAATAATAATAATAATAATAATAATAATAATAATAATAATAATAATAATAATAATAATAATAATAATAATAATAATAATAATAATAATAATAATAATAATAATAATAATAATAATAATAATAATAATAATAATAATAATAATAATAATAATAATAATAATAATAATAATAATAATAATAATAATAATAATAATAATAATAATAATAATAATAATAATAATAATAATAATAATAATAATAATAATAATAATAATAATAATAATAATAATAATAATAATAATAATAATAATAATAATAATAATAATAATAATAATAATTAATAATAAAGGAGGCACAGTGGTGTAGTGGTTAGTGTGTAGGGCTATGTAGTGTAATGGAGAGTAAGATCTATAGTTCGAGCCCCGATGTGGTAAAGCAATTTTTCTGAGAAAAAAATTGTTTTAACTGTGCTTCCCGTCCCTGCCCAACCAACGCTGTTTAGGACGGCCAACTTAAGTAGTATGGGGAAAGCGGGGTGCTAAGTGAGGACGAGTTTCTGCCCGACCCCGGGTATCGGTACTTCGGTATCGGTACCCACCTGGGGGTACCCGCAAGGGTGCCCCCACCCGGGGGTGCCAGTAAAAAGGTGCCCCCACCCCGAAGAGACGTCCGCAAGGATGTCTCTTCACCCTTCGAGTAGTTACTCGTCCTCACACGCAATGGCCACTTTTGTTTCAAAAAATAAAAAATCCTATTTCAACAAACACATGTTAGTGGTGAGAAATGGGTGGCAATAGACACATGTTAGTGTTGAGCTTATTCTAGGGACTGGGACCCCGTAAAAAGGCCAAAAACAAATATATATATAATTATGATTACACGTAGTCGAAGAAATAACGGGGGGTGTTCGGGAGGTACCCTCTCAAATAAATCCCGCGTTCAGCAGGTAGGCATTGACTGCAGTTCGTTAAGTATGCATCATATCCCACGCAGTGATGTGCTATGCGGGCAAAGCTGTGATGTAATGCGACCGCAGACTAGTCAACAAAATCAGACTAACCTCCAAAATGTTTCAGTTCAAGCTGGTTCTCAGCGACAACTGACCAATTTGGTTGAAAAATCGCAAAAGCGCATGAAATGGACACATGAGATGAATACCTTGATAATGCGCGAATACTACAGATCAACTCGACTCGAAACAAATATGACTGATTACAGAAACCAAATTTACTTAGCATTCAAACAGAAATATCCAGAACTAAATGTAACGGAACAAAGGATTGCAGACCAGCGGCGATTCTTAGCAAAGAATAATAAAATATCCCCAATAGAATTACAAGAAATCAAACAGCAAGTGGCACATGAACTATCATTAAATGAAACAACTGAATTAAATACCACAGTAGAAGTAGTGCCAGAAATGGAAGAGACACCTACAACAACAGATAACAGAATCAATACAAATGATGAAATAAATAGAATAACAGCAGAAAATGAACTAAA